TAAAAACAGAACATAACCTTCTTGTTTTAAATCATTGCGTTGGAAACATATAGTAACAAACCGGACACGCAACATTTTATGCTTGTTGACACGCTTCACAATTTGGCACAATTAAGCTCGTATATTAACTAATATGTTATCACGTCCAAAACCAACTGTGACAGAAAGTGCATTCAATCCCACGTAAACATCGTCTTACGTTTGTTGGCATACCTAAGACTGCTAAGCCAACTTCATATATTCCCTGATAAGCACAAGTCTTATGACTTGTCCATAAATAAGAACGACAATTCACTTACATATAACGATAGGATCCAAAGGTGAATTATGATGTATGAGACAATATAAACTATAACAAATATAATAGATTATTTTCAAACTGCATATATTTTATGAAAATACCAATACAAGCTGAATACGGCATCAAACACTGACAAACCTGGACCTTTGTATAAACAATGGCAGAATACTTTCATTATTGGGAATAAATTTGAGTCAAAGAAGAGACAGGCTATCAAATTGTGTCTCAAACTATTCAAGGTCTTAAGTTAATTGTTCATCATATCTTCAGTTTGTTTTCTGTCCTGTCGTGAACTATTAGTGGATGGACATTTTTCTGTGCATTATACAAGATCACTTGGAGATAATAACGATGTGTTTGATACACATGAATTATTTTCTTTTACAATCACCTTTTCTCTCCTAGTTTGTTATGTTTATGAAGTAGAACTTTAGTTTAAGTTGACGAAGCACAAGCCATAAACGTGTATGTCACAGCACATAGAACTGTTTGATAAATACACTCGAAAAATTGTAAAAAATGACAGATTCATACTATTAAAGAATACGTTAGATCGCTTGAATTTCGTTTGATATATTTGTCTCGATAATAAAAATGGTATACATCTATGTGTGAATGAGCTTTGAGATGACTTGGTGTGTGCTACTGATGTCGACAGATATAAGTAGTATGTATCATCAATTGCAAGCGAAGTGCCTGATGGCAGAAGGTTAAGAAGAGTGAAGAGAAGAGACCGATAACAGAAAATGATTAATGTGAAAACGAAAGAACAATCAAGTCTGAGACAATTGATGGGCATTTTACAAATGAAGTGTTTACTATATAGTTCTCAGATTTTACTAAGAGATTCTGTAATTTTGTATTCAAATACATTCAGTTGTCCCCACAGCTGTCCTCGTTCACTACAACGTGAGTTCAAATGTCAGTTAATCGCTTCAATTGAATTGATGAACGAATATCGTAAGATAAATATAGTGAAAAGTTGCTTTTTTCCAGTGAAATGATACACATATATGTAACATATTAAATATGGATTTGAAGTCATTTAAAACATAAGTGATAGTAAGATACATGTTTTGTAGGTCATTTGTAAATCATTGAAATTTTGATGGTAGCTAACAGATTAAATCATTTTTACATACTATATGAATATGGAAAGGAAATAAGTAGAGATATCAATAAAAATTAAGTACATTTGATAAACTAGAATAAAGATGTGAGAGTACAATAAATCCTTTGACAACATATTCTAATCTATACAATAGTGTAGATTAATTAAGTTTTATCCGACCGGAAAATCATTAAGCTTATTCTGCATATATATTGATTTAATCCGATTATAATGGAGAAAATGTTGGTTTAAAGACGTTTTTCATTATGGACTAAAAGTAAGTAAGTCATATGGAACGCAGAAGCTGGCATACCTGTGAATTGTCACACTACATCAACAGTGAGATGAAATGGTCAAGGTAAATTCCAAAACAGTAAAGTAATAGTCCAATAGCCAGTAACTTCTTGGACTGATGCCATGTCTTGGTTTGTCCGCTATTAGCTTTCTAGCAACCTACCCACACATCGGACAGTAATGTGTATCAAAGTAGGCGGTGGATGGGGATATATAATACATGTTCCAACCATATCGGCTGGTCAAGGTTCACTACTTCATCAATCGATTCAATGTCTTTACCCAGTGCACTGTATCTAACCTCACGATGGTCTCAACATATACAAGTAATGCTTCGAAGGTATCTACGATCGGATACTAATAACCTACGAATACCTAATTCTACAAACCATGAAATATAACGGATGAAATCTCTGAGTAGTACACTTGTCTTTTGGTTAGCAGATGGACATGTTTCCCTACCGCATACGTGATTTAAATTGGTGAAGGCCAAACCGAGATTTCTGAGTTCACGCTGAAATTGTATTAGACGCCAAATCACTATAGCTGATGAGACTTTCAAGATAAGTGAATAGGTCAATACATTCAACTACTTCACTCCATATCATTTGTTCAGGTCGTGACGTAAGCCAGTCAGAAGGCGACATTTTGCATTTAGAGGGAGACAAACTCATTCCAAACATGGTTGTGTGGTTGCTTAAGATTGTTAGAATACTCTGCACTTTATCAGTATCTACCCATCCAATTTCAAGTCAGAAACTAACCTGGTTTCCCCTTCATGAGCCCTAGTTAAGCGTCGGAAAATTATTGAGGCTAATATTTCGGATAATATATTAGTCAAATGTACTCCTTTGTGACTGTCACAAGAGTATTTTTATTCTTCATTACAGATCAGGACAAACATCAATCAAGTCCAGTTCCCAGATTCCAAGTAGTATTTCAGTCAATTTAATAATTAGAACTGAACTGTAATCCTGAAAGGTCACCAGGTTGGCTGCACTCCCTCGCCTTAGCTTAGCTATGGCTTTTTCAGTTTTATCAAGATTTATGGGATCTGTATTAATATCCCATTCAGGTTGTTTGGCAACATTACGCAACTGAGAATTCGAGAGCAGTTGAACTATTCTTCACAATTTCCCACTTATAGTTTCAATCTCCTGGGTTGGGAGTAGAATTTGTCACTTTTACGTTTAAGTTACCTTCTCTCCCCATCGTATTCTGAGTTTGTCGGGATGAGTTCACTAGTCTCTATCAGTCCAACGGACGCCGCTGAAATCCACTGGCTCTTCATCGTTTGCCTATAAAGTGGTGGATATCACTCCTGTTCCAGCAGCTATCCCAACATACATTGGTTTGAACATAACTTGGGTGACTAACTGCTTTTCTAGTTGTTCCTGAAATACACTCTTGATTTTTTCTAATCGTTGAGCTAATCTCAAGGTTTTCTTGCTGACTTTTCTGCATCCAGTAAGAAACATGTACCTGTACTAGAGCATGATTAGTCTAGAAATGTGCTTCAGAATGACCAATAGTCTTCTCTCTAACCTCTCCAACGACGGCTGAGGACGACATAGTCTATTTGCACCCAACATTGAGTTGACTGTGGGTGTCCCCAAGTAGGACGATTTCTTTAGGCTTAAATTTGGTGATTGTTAAGAACCAAAGGTTGTCTGATTATCGGTGAATCAAACAGCTGCCGTTGTCTGTTCATTGAGCTGGAACACTGTAAGGCCACCTAAAATCTTTCACTTCGGTTTAGACTATCTACTTTAGCAGTAAAACCTTCTTCTACGGTTACATCTGAGGGTTTGCCTTTCTTAGGAAAGCAGAAAGCTTACTCTACGACTCATTTGAACAGTAGTTAGTGGGAGCCTGGGAGTTAATAGAAAGTTATCTGAGTATATCCCTAACTCTCTGTGTTCTTAACCCCTCATTTACTCAGATTGTGTATAAATGATTGTCCATTGGGATCCAGTCTGTTTTGCTTTTAAACCTAATGGTATACAATCCAGTGAATTACGACACTTAGATCCCATATGTGTGTTTCGAAGAAACCTTATTTAGATATCAAGGGATTCTAGAGTTTTATCTAAGAAAACCTGTTGTTCTATTTAACATAAGGTTCAAACATGCAGTTTACAGTACTGTTCTGGGAGACCAGGAATAACGTCTCATGAACCCGAATAGTTAGCATTAGACCGACACCAAACTGGACAAACATTTAAAACTATGAAGTACAGGATAGCCATTCCATTGTAGTTTGGAACCACACAGTAATGTTTTGTGAAGAACATGATATCATTTCTTAACTTTTCTCAATCTGCTATGTAAATATGATCCGTATTAGTAGATAAATGGTTTACCACATCTAATTTGGTCGACTTCCATTCAAACTTTTTGAAATTCATTTTAGAACTAGTCCTCAAAGAGTAAAATATTACAATCTGGATAAACTATTAGTGAAAATTAATATAATTCAAAAATGGTTTATCATTATGGATTGATATTATCTAGTGAAAATACTCAAAAACTATTTGACATTGAACAGTGACTACTGGTTTCCGTATAAACAGTTAAATAATATATATATATATATATATATATATATATATATATGAAAGCTCAATACTCACAACTTTGAATTCTAAAACAATACAACAGACTTTTGATGACAGAAAAAGTATGTTTTATTTCAGTGAAAATAAGAGAATACAAAACGAGAGCCCGAAAAAAACACAGTTGTCAGCTATGATTTGGTAATTCACAGAAAGAAAAAATTAGAAATATTATTGATATGCTTGTTGAATGTTTAATATCGGAACAAAAGAAAATAAAGAAAAATAAGTAATATTTTAATATATCATTAAAATTTAGTATTATCTTATACATTAAAAGAAAATTCAAGGGTAAATGAAAATTTTTTTTTAGGCATTAGAGAAATGGAACAAAAAAAAACACCAAGAAAACTATAAAGATTTCAAGAAGAAAAGTCAATGAATACAAATGAGATAGACATAATGTAATAGTTTTAAATAATAAGATAAACCTTAAATAGAAAATAACAACTAGATAGACAACGATAAGATATTAGAATGAATCAATGAACTTAGACAAAAATTCAAAAGAAGAGAATAGTCACACATACTGACATAATGTATGCAGAAAATAGAACTGTGTTAGAACATTTGGCAATCTTGTATATGTATATACAGGAGAGGCATAATATCCAAAAAAATAATGGTATATAAAATCTATAGTGGTAATAGTACACGATATGAATAAGGATTAATTTACATATATATATATATATATATATATATATATATATATAATATTCTTGTCAAAGTGAATTGTGAACTAAATCATCAGTGCCACCGTTACCAAACTAAGCTTGTGCTGAAAAAAATACATAAAAAAGCACAAGAATTGCACGAATCAATAAGTATTTTACTGAAAAACTATGAGATCTTAATCAATAACAACAGAGTAGTGACATAGTATCTAAAATACTGGCCTCGATAATTATCAAACGCCTAACTAAGACTCGTGAACTACAAACTCGAGAGAACCAAGCTGGCTTTAGACCTGGTCGCGGCTGCATCGACCACATATTCACCATTCGTCAGGTTCTAGAACACAGGCATACCTATCGGCGTCCGACAATGGTGGTCTTTCTCGACTTAAAAGCAGCATTTGACTCGGTAGACCGCGAGATTCTGTGGCAGTGTCTGTCATTGAAAGGCGTACCTCAGAAGTACATAAACCTTGTGAAGGCTCTTTACTCGAACACTACCAGTCGAGTCATGGCTTATGGCGAACTGTCATCTACTTTTGCAACCTCAAGTGGTGTCCGTCAAGGCTGTCCACTTTCTCCATTTCTGTTTAACTTCATCATAGACCTATTGATGGAAATAACACTCTCGTCGACTGAATTCTCGGGTATTGATCTCCTTCCAGGAGGTCCAATTATCGACTTAGAATACGCAGATGACGTAATCCTGTTTGATGAAGACGCTGATAAAATGCAGTCTTTTGGTAGCACTAAGCAACAATGCCAGAAAGTTTGGAATGCGCTTCTCTCCCTCTAAATGCAAGCTGCTGCTTCGGGACTGGTCTGCATCGACACCTGAACTAAGTATAGGGAGCGAAGTAGTCGAACGCGTTGACAACTTCACTTATCTTGGAAGTCTGATCAGCCCTAATGGGTTGGTGTCTGACGAAATCTCAGCACGGATTCGAAAAGCTCGTTTGGCTTTTGCCAACTTACGTCATCTTTGGCGAAGGCGAGATATCCGTCTATCAATAAAAGGACGAGTATACTGCGCGGCAGTTCGTTCTGTTTTACTTTACGGCAGCGAAACATGGCCCTTAAGAGTAGAAGAAACCCGTAAGTTACTAGTATTTGACCACAGATGCCTTAGAAATATTGCTGGCATCTGCTGGGATCACCGGGTAAGTAATAGTGAGGTTAGACGCAGGGTATTAGGGAATGATGGTAAGTCAGTTGATGAGGTTATGAATCTTCATCGACTGAGATGGTTGGGCCACGTATTACGTATGCCTGAACACCGATTACCACGACGTGCAATGCTAACCGGGGTAGGGGATGGTTGGAAGAAAGTTAGGGGCGGCCAAACCAAAACGTGGCATCAGTGCCTGAAGTCACTAACTTCTAGTCTGAGCCATGTTGGTAGATGCAGACTACTTGGTTGGGGTCCGCGTGACTTTCGTAACCAATGGTTGGAGACTCTTGGTGACATGGCTCAGAATCGATCACAATGGCGTCGGTGTATACACTCCCTGTTTTCTTTTAAACTAAGAGACTAAAATCACTTCATTCTTTCTGTCTACGAACTAATTCTTTCTTCCTATACTATATCCTTATTGCAACCTTTGACCAAACCACTCCTATGAATCCGCTGTTCATCTTGCTGTGCTAATGAGGTATGGCAACCTGGACCGATGCACATATGTGCCTGGTCCTACGTTGTAGCTGACTGACTGACTGACTGAGTAGTGACATTTAAATCCAATAATTACACACTTCAATTAATCATTATTTTTTGAAGACTGATAAAAAAGGTAATACGACTGTACACGATAGCCAAATACAATCCTCATGTAGTCAGAGCTTTTGATTACATGATTTGTATGAAAGCTAGCTGAGTAAAAAATACTATGTAATTGTCCTAAACTGAAGTAGAATGAAGAACACAGAGTAGGAACTTGTGAATCAATGGTTGAAAATCACAAAAAGAAATGATTGAGATTTAAATGAATGGACAGATTAATGATAACAATAACATCCACAAGACATATTTGTACATTAAGCTAAAAATTATACAAGGTGTAGAATAAACAAACTTAGATATTTAGTTATCCCACTGGTAAATAAACCTCATTGGGAATACGAAACAGATAACTTGAAATCTAAATAGTTGTTCAACTAAAATCAGTTAGTGATGTTAACTATCACACTGAACAATCTCCACAAATTCCCTACATAGTAATAATAATCAGGTGCTCATTGGTGACTAATTTTGTTAGGTAATTCTCATAGTTTTAGTGAGAAATTTATTTATTTATTTGAACACATAAATATTGGTACAAGAGGGCACCAAATATATATGCGCCACACAAAACAATGAGAATTCGAAGATAAAAAAAGAAGGTAAGGAGCGTAAAAAAAGAACAATAACAACTACAGATTAGTGTAAGGTAGTGTAATAGTGATAAAAATAATAATAGTAATAATGGGGGAAACGGAAAGGTACAATCAGAAGAAATCTTTCAGTTAAGGAAGAAACAACCACTTTTTATGAAGAAAAAAAGAAGGTTACAGCAGGATCGCCACTGGCTTCTATTCTGAGCCATATCTGATAACGTCTCTAGCCACTGTGTTGCACCATCTCCCGGACCCCAGCCTGGGAGTAGTGAAGGACCAACACAAGCCAGCCCTTTACAGCTTTCTTTTATACCAAGACACCACGTCATACATTGACCACTTCTCCGCTTTATCCAACCAGTCCCAGCGTCGACAACTAATGCACGATGTGGAATTCTCTGGGACGACATTCGTAGAACATGTCCAAGCCACCGAGGTCGGTGTTTCAAGATGGTGACACCAAATGGATTATCGTCTCTGCGCCCGAACACACGATGCTAAACCTCTGCATTACTAACATGGTGTTGCCACTGGATGTCAGCAATCCTTCGGAGACAGCGATGATCGAACACAGAGTCGTCTAACATCCTCAACTCGGAGAGGCCAGGTTTCACAAGCATAGAGCAAAACTGCTCTCACCGATGCGTTGTAGATCCGACCTTTTACAGCCAGACTAACATCACGAAGGCGCCAAAGATGGCCCAGATTGGCATAAGCCACTCTGGCTTTCGCTATACGTGCATTGATCTCATCACTCACACCATCACCAGCACTTATGCAGCTACCTAGATACACGAACTTTTCGTCTACTTCTATATGCTCATCATCCAGGGTGAGTACAGGATTAGAATCCTGCCAGTCTTGTAGAAGTACTTTACACTTCGAAGGTGCAAAGCACATACCATACCTACGGACACTGATTGCCAACTGATTAAGTGCGGATTGCATGCCTTGGGCATTATCGCACAGTAAGACAATATCATCCGCATACTCAAGGTCGAGAAGTCTTCCTCCAGGTAGCAGATCCACACCGCCATACTTACATCCATCAGAGCTGTTTCCAGAATGTCATCGATGGCAAAGTTGAAGAGGAATGGTGAGATTGGGCAACCCTGCCTAACCCCACTACTCGAATGGAACAATGGAGAAAGGTGGTTGTATGTCCTCACTCTGCCTGAGGTGTTTTTATATAGAGCTTTTAGGATGTTAATAAACTTCTCAGACACACCCTTCTTCAATAGACAATCCCAGAGAACAGTCCTGTCCAACGAATCGAAGGCAGCCCTAATGTCAAGAAACACTACGATTGTTGGCCTTTGATAAGTATGGCGGTGTTCTAACGTTTGGCGGAGGGTGAAGATATGATCAATACATCCTCCACCAGAACGAAACCCAGCCTGCTCCTCGCGAGTCAATCTTTCTCGGGTTTTGAACAACCTACGAAGTATGATGGAAGCCAATAGCTTGGACGCAATCGGAAGTAGACTTATCCCCCGATAGTTGTTGCAGGAACGACGTGAACCCTTTTTAAAGATAGGGACAACTATCGACTCATTCAATGACGTTGGTAAACTCTCTAGTTCTCAGACCTTTGTAAACAACACAGTCAGTTCCTTAGCCAGAAAGTCACCACCATCTTTAAAAAGGGCCGGAGGTAATTCACCTGGGCCCGGTGATTTGTAACGCTTCAAGAGTTGGAGTTCCTTGAGGACTTCCGCCTCATTTGATGGATCAGCCGTCACCGGCCATGGAGGCAGGACAGTCCAACCGATGTTGCCGGAGTAGCAGGCCAGTTGAACTGCCCTTCGAAGAATTCCGCTCATCGTCCAAGACGTCGATGGACGTTAGTGAATGGCATCCCGTCATCCTCACAGATTGTTTCGCTCACACCAGGCTTCTTGCTGCCAGTGGCTCGGATGAATTGAAAGAGCTTCCGGTAATTACCAGATGCAGCTGCTGCTTCCAACTCATTAGCACCCTTCGACCACCAGGCTTTTCGGTCCTTACGCAAGCTTTGCCCAATTTCATTACGTAACATCCTTCGTTTGTGGTCAAACTCACGGTCATCCGGAGTAGACCGATGGGCTAGCTCGGTTCGATACTTACTTGCAACAGAAGTTGCAACTAGCTTGCTATCATCAATCCTTTGGTGGCGGTCACTTCATTGTCCACTGAAAAGTAAGGTAAGATTGGCGCAGACCAAAGCATGGTCAGAGTCCAGATAGGTACTCCAAAAGGAGCGACAGTCTTGTACACAACCACGCCAGCGGTAGCTGATCGTGATGTGATCAATCTGAGTCCAGGCTTGGGATGCATAGGGAGGATGCCAGGTGGCATATCGGCGACGACTGTGCCGGAAGTTAGTGCTAGCCAGAAACAGGTTGTGGTCTGTGCACAGTTGCAGTAGACGGTCCCCATTATCTGACCTGTGACCAACGGCCACCTAAACGACTCTCTTCTGTGCCTAGACGCCCGACCTGAACATTCAAGTCTCCTGCTAATACTACAATGTCTGTCGAACGCACTTTCTGCAGAAGAACAGTTAACTGATGGTAGAATTCATCCTTGATTGTACCCAGGCTGCAATCTGTCATGGTATAGGCGGAGATGACGAAAAGACATCATTTCTCACTTTGATGGAACTTTCTAATCTAACAGCACATAACCGACTGTTAATGGGGATCCAATCAATTAGTGCTGCCTCAACTCTAGCGCCTAGTGAGACACCAATGCCAGCAAAACCAGACGAAGATGGCACAGGGTCCCCGGATAAACGCACGTAAAACAAGCTTTTTGAAGTGACAGATGGAGAGCGAATTTGTAGTACTTCGCTAGAGTCTTGAATACGGGTCTCGGATAGACAATAAACATCGATATTAAGACTTTCTAAAGACATAGCCAGCCCTATCTGTTGTCTGACCTGCATAAGTGTGCGAAAATTGAAGGCTGCTAGTTTGGATGGTTCACGTGATTTCAGAAAAACTGCTTCAGTATTCATATTTGGTGGTAGCGTACAATTTTTAACCAGGCAGTGACTCGAAAACGTTTAGATAGAATCGAGTTTCCGCCATAAGCGAACTGCTGTATAAGTCGAAAAATAAAGATACACAGAGTGGGAATAAAAAAGAGTGAATAAATGACGTAAATAATAATAATAATAATAATAATAATAATAATAATAATAATAATAATAATAATAATAATGTGAATCGTTTGATTGTTAATTGAAGCAAGACAAGTATTTTCCATAAATATCGACATTTCATCATATTTATGTGTGGGCTGTGATACTGCTCGGGTGCCCGGACCGAAGCAGGTGGTTTTCTCAGGGGACCACACTCCGAGCCTTTGACCTAAAGGTCTGACTTACAAGGCATTGAGTAGGACTTCCATGGTAGTGACTGTATACACATGGCCATATGAGAGCATTTCGAGAGGGAGAGCGGAATCTCCTCCCCTCAGCCGTACCGGAGATTTTGAGGACACCATGACCAGAGGAGGTCAACTATGTTGAGTGTGAGACAGTTACTGATCAATGACAATGGAAGATGGTTCTGCGATACAGTGAATCGAATGAATCAAACTACTGGATCAGTCAGTCAGTCACTGGTCTGAAGGATAAGATCTTGTGTTCAGTGTTTGGGGGGATAGTGGAAGCCCACTCCCGAGGATTTACATACACGGACGAAACAACTGCCAAGTGCTTCTTGGTTTTACGTAGTTAATTAAGATCAGTTCGTAATATTAACCATGAAATTTAAGTGTTTCTACAATAATAAATCGTCGAGCTACAAAGTAATATTTGGATAAAAAATAACCCATGACCGTTACTTGTGTTATCATAATACATTTTTAAGACAGAAAAAACATTTCAAATTGTTGACTACATCAGGAAAAGAAATGTTGGTTTGTTTAAGATTTGACTGTCCAAATCATGAAAAAAGGTAAACTTTAAAGTGCTTTGACCATTGACCATGGAATACGCGTAATAATCTGATACGATAAACAATCAACAGGTGAGGACATATGAAAGAAACAAAGTTCATAGTTTTTTTGAATATCGGTGCAATTCGATGCGCAAAGGTAATACGTTTTATATGCATAATAACGATAACATGGTCTTTTGGAGAGATTTTAAAATATTTAACCTCAGTAGGTAGGAACAATGAGATTTGCATGAAAATTGGATTAGATCTCTATTAGGCTCGATGCATAATTAATGTAAGTCAAACGAAAGATTTTTAAAGCATCAGATGAAATAAGACCAGAATATTAAGTTTTACATTATTTAGGATACATCATCTCTAAAGAATAACTATCAGTTATATTGGAACATAAATACGCGAATAAATTGATCATATACGGTTTCTCTATCTCTGAGAACATATTTTTCAAAAGCATAACAGAATAAAAGTATCTTGGATAAACGTACTTAGAAAAACTAATAAACACACTAAATTATGGATATCAATGAGAATTTCTAGAACAATGTGGCTTAGTTCGCATAAATATGTACTGCAGAAGTAGCAATGTGAATTTTGCCGGAAAGCGAAGATTGTTGGATGAAACTAATCTTCATTGATATAGTGTGATTCATAAGTAGAATGGAACATTAGAATGCTCTTAAAATACTCAAATCACTTATATTTACGAAAACTCCAACTGCTCTGATATATATGGGCAAGTATTAACACTGAGATGGTGGAGATTTGTAACTCAGGTGGATGATTTTGATGGAGTTTTGTTCTCTGAGCTGGATGGTTTGGTCGTGGAGCTTTCATTGTTCTTCTGAACGACATTATCGGCACAAACTTAAATGTCGTCACTGATTGTGACATTAGAAAATGTGGGTCTGAATACTATGGGGAGTACAAATTTCCTTAATATTGCGAATATTGTTTATTAACATGTGCTAACTAGTAAAAAAAAACAAGACTCAAGCCTTTCTGACAACTGATGACAATTATGCTTAAATAGACTTACTTGTATCATCTATTATATCTGTAAATGTTGGATTTTCATGTACTTCTGTCCCACGGAAACCATAAAGACGCATAAAGTAAGCTTCGATGGCAGCTGGCGTTTTTCCTTTCGTTTCAGGTAGATACAATCCGACAAATATTAATACAGCCAACAATACACATATAAACGGTATAAAAGCATAAATACTAATATAGGTCTGTGAAGAAAAAAGGAAAACACAAGAAATTAAATAGATAAGATCAAAACATTGAAAAAGCTACTCATTTTTTATTTCACAAATAGAAGACCGGACATCTTAAAATATAATTGAATACATAATTCCATTTTCAAATAAATTAGCAAATAGAAATATTCAAATAAACAACGTAGGACCTAGAGCACATGTGGGTTAGTCCAGATTACCACTGTTTGTATCAGCATTATGAGTGTTTAGTATATAAAATCTCCAATCTATCATAACACAAGTTCAACAGATTGTCGCCGAAGGTGATGATTTACTGACATTTTATCTATTTTTTATGTGCTACAGAACAAGTAAGTGGACAATTTTGAGTAATACTAGGCATTAAGTACTAGGGATAAAAGGTGGTAAACCATTTAGCAAAGGTGTCAACCTTCATTGACTGAAGTTGTTGGAAATATAACTAATCAACATCTGTCGATGTATTATAGTGACATTCATAAAAACAGATTAAAAAATGAACAAGTCAAATCAAGATATGATATTAATTTACTAATTCATAAAATGTTGACATGATCCTTATGAAGAGAGATAAGGTATTTTTAGTTTGGAGTCGATCATACTACTACAATCTATGGTTGTGACCTAAATGGATTAACTCTTGATCATCTTTTAAATATTGGATACTGATTTATTTATTGATCTGTTCAAGATGATAACATAGAGTGGGTTACCATCTCCACTATGACTCAACATACTTCACCGGCCATCAGTAAGAGCGATACAAAGTTACTACTTAAAATAAGCGATCATTTAGAGATGACCATGGAATACAGAGTTGCTAAATATTGTTATTTTGAACAGACTAATATTTTCAAACCTAGTACAAAATTACTGGGAACGATACGTTGTAAATTCAATTATTTCTGATCAATCTAGCATCTTGGTCATCCTAAAGGTTGCCTAGATTGATATAAGCTATGGTTATTTGCTATACAAAAATAGATCACTCTATAGTACCAACGTTCAACATAACTATCTAGACGCACATACTACTCGAACATTGCGTGTACCTTAATTTTTAATTATTAGTGTTTAACATATTTGATTGTTATATATATTCATAACATCATGCTATCATTATGCTTATGAATAAAGTTAGGTAAATAACGTCTGGTAGTAAGTAATAATAATATTGTTTGATCTGTCAACAGCTATATTAGTCCTAACACTTATATGTTTCATGGTTTTAAATCATGAACTAATATTTGCTAGACCACTAGTGAAAACCAGGAAGCACTAGACAGCTGTTTCGTCCTAGTATGGGACTCCTCGAAAGTGTGCACCCACAACCTCACCACAAGGAATTAAACTCAGCTTCAGTTTTGCATCTAACGCTTAACCTTCAGAACACAGATACAACATCCAATGCTTTACATATCTAGCTTCAAACAATTAGCCATTATCTTGAGTTGCTTATGGCAGATAACTGTCTTACACCCGTCATGGTTGAACTCCACTGGTTAGGGTTTCCCACTAGAACTCCAGGAGTTGTATCTTAAAGCTACTTACCAGTAAGCATATGATTATTATCAACATAGGGTCATGCATAAGCACCGTTGAGTCTCATACTAGAACGAAACAGTTGTTTAGTGTTTTTTGGTAGTTTAGCTAAGATTAGTTCATGATCTAAAAAAATAAGAAAATTCTGTAATCTGCACAAAACTTTAAAGTGATTTATTTACTTGTCTAAACGAAAAATCATTACCTTGTATTAACAGATGATAATTAGTGTTTGTGAGTGAATAATGAAATTTACAGTGTTAGCTACCTTTACTCTTATTATGTGTGTGCTCTTTGTTGTTTTAAGATATAAAAAAGTATGTACAGATACTTTGAACTATAAGACAGTTGATCAATATTATTAATTAAAACAAAACACCAGAAATATGCTGAAAATATGTTAAATTAACTATTGAATTCCGATCACATTTTCCTCGTGATTGCTGTTTACAGGATTCTTTCTTTGTAATTTAATTAGGAATAAAGGTTATTCCGTTAAATAACAATGTAATCTTATCGGATGGATTTTGTGGATATTATAGTAATTTCAATGGTTAAGATCATGAGTCAGTTGAAGCTTAGTTGCGTAAGTGTTATGTTGGAAGGCAATAAATAATAATAATAATAATAATAATAATAATAATAATAATAATAATAATAATAATAATAATAATAATAATAATAAGTCAAGAAATATTTAATGAAGCCCTGAAATTTTCAATACAAAATTAAATCCTCCATAGCGGAGTATTAGTCCAGGTTAATAAAAAAAGTGGACTTCATAGTAGCTTTTTAGGAAAAATAATTATGTTAAAATTTGGTTTGGTAATTAAGAAGCACACTAATGAAAAGCTTACCGAATTGAGTGAAGCAATGAAGAAATTTTTAACATTATCCGATAAAACAGGGTGAAATGCAACAATATTGATCAGTTTATGATCTTAGTTTCTAGCCCAGATTAATTATCAGGTAACTGATAAGTTGCACACAGTTATTCAATATTAGTAATTAGAGGACTACTAAGAACCAAAGGATACTAAGATACTGCTTTGTGGAAGTCTGTAATTCACTAGAAGTGTATAATAACGACTTTACATGGGCTAGAACCCGGGGGCATTCTGGTCTTGTAGTGAGTGTGGCACTTTTAAACATCTATGAATCCAGTGGTCCGTATTTCCAACTTTAGTCGGTTCGTGATGGGGTTCTGGTTATATTATTGTGTTGTAGTTGCAGACAGTTGAAAAGTTTGAAATTAGAAGCAAATAGTTGCTAATTTTCGGTGGTTCTCTAACTGATATCCGACTGTAGGGAAAACTTGATATCTTGTAGTGTGATTCCCTATGTTTATAATTCAATGCTTCAGTAAAAAGTTATCGTTAAAAAAATCTTATTTAAACGATATTTGCAAGGTCTGACAGTGGTACCTAATGTGAAAAGTATCACTTGAATATGTGCATTTATTAATTAAACATTTTATTTGATAACTAGAACCAGAAAGCTAAATATACCACACAAACACTAATCAATTCAGTTGTTACCTAAATTTCATATGGCAATAATCGAGCGAGTGCTGAAAACTAAGTCCAAAACAGTTATTTAAACTGGTTTGGTGCTTTCAACTCACTGCAACCATCTATAATAAGCATAAAGTAAATTGAAATATAGAGGTAACCTCGTTAGGTTTGTAACAACGGAACATTATTCCGTGATCGCTAACTAGTTATAATTTATCTTAGCTTTCTTTAATATAGTGACTACTTATCAAAACTTTTTAATCAACTGGCTCTACGGGTAAATAGAAAAATGAGACTCAATATGTATATGAGATGTTAAGCGCATCTATTGTACTAGGTCATCCAAACTTTCTTAAGTGGGAAACAAAGTTTTGCATCTGTGATCTGAAATGGTTCCAGAGAAATAAACTAATCCTTGGGAATAGCAAACTTTATTAAAACTTGACTGATGAATTTGAATGCTGTTAATTTCACGAAAATCGAAATCCCTCTATAAGTAGACCATACAGTGTAAGGACATGTGAACTATTTTCACAACGAACAATAGTACAGACGTTAGCTCAGTTGGCCATCAAATATTCAGAGAAAACTTATGATTTTAAAGTACGCAAAAAAACTACAAAATAATCAGTTGTTACATAGACTCCAGTATGTAACATCGACTAAATTTTACTATTAATTTCAAAATTGTTACAACCGGACTATATGAAATAATCGAACGCAATAGCATGATAGATAAAGTTCTAGCGTTTAGCAAAATCTGATTGAGCGATAGTTTATCAGTCTAGATCAATGGAACGACATGAATTTTCTCGTTGAAAAGATATATTTGAATTCTAATCATAACAGTAACACTGTGAAAGACGATAACTAAAACTAGATCGTTGTTTGAATAAGAATTATGCTACAACTGAAGTTTGGATAAGGATTACAACATTGAAAACATCAAAAGTATTTTGATAAACTCAAACAGCAATGTAAGCACATTTGAAAAGGGTTTTTCTCCTTCTAAATGCAAAATGATTCTTCAGAATTGGTCATTGTTAGCATTTAAACTAATGATTGGAAGTGAAATAGTTTATTGTCGGTCATTCCACCTATCTTGGGAGTCTCATCAGTCCTAATGGGTTGGTGTCTGGAGAAATCTTGTCACGAATTCAGAAATCCCCGTTTGCTTTTGACAACTGGAGTCAATTGTGGGGTAGGCAGTGTCCATATGCTGACCAAAAGATGAGTACACTTCCCAGCAGTTGGCCGTATCCTACTTTATGGCTATAAAACATGGTTTATGAAAGTAGCAGATACATGTGTCGAAGCATACATTAAAATGATCGAACCCAGATAGATGGTTCACAAATTAACTGTATGCTAAACATATCGTTCAACCATGTTAATAATGCTGGCTGTAGAATTTTTGAACCATATATTTGTATTTGATAACTTTTATGTATGATTATTTTCCAGACTGTTGGGCGGAATGTTTGGGTTATTTCGACTTCAACTGCTGAGGTTTTTACAATTATAGTTTCCGTTTTTAAAACCTTCCATTGACTTAATGCCCAAATATTATGCAACTATTAGTTCGAATTTCGACGAAAGTTCTTACAAACCACATTGATATATATATTCGAACTAAAAGTTGCATAATATTTGGGCATTGAGTTAATGGAAGACTTTAAAAAACGCAAACTATAATTGTAAAAACCTATATATAAACATACTTGTCGACATATTTTTCAACAGGGTATGCAATGTGTTTTCACCTCAAATTTTTTAGCTGAGCTCCAAAATGGAGGAATGGTAGGCTAGGCAGATACAGACGCAGCACATGCTAGTTCAAGGCCAAATAATAGGTGAGAGACGTTGATGGATCAACATTGCTGGCTGGGCTTTGGCTACATTATCTGAGTGACACATGTATACATATACACAACCCTATACTGATAATCATGATGTGCTTACTAGTGACTAACTTCGAGAGGTAATTCTCAGAGTTCTAGTGAGAAGCCGTAACCAGTGAAGTTCGACCGTTTTGGTTGTGAGGAAGTTACTCATCGAGAACAATGGAAGATGGTCACGCAATATAATGGATTGACTGAATTTAAACAATAATACCGGTGAGTGTCAGCTCAGTGGTCGAAAGGTTAAGCGTTCGCGCGAAACAAAGGTCCTGAGTTTGAGTCCCGCGTGTGGAATTATGGATGTATACTGCTAAGGAGTCCTATACGAGGACGAATAAGCTGTCCGGTGCATCCAGATTTCCAATAGTGATCTAACATCGATCGGTTTATGATCTCAGTGAAACTCAATAATCCACACAACCCTATACTGATATATCATCAAGTTTGCGTGCATTTTCACTTGGATTCCCAATACAACTTCTGATTCATTCTTAGTCTGTTCACTCAACTACCAAGTTAGGCTTCCGTATGGAGAGAGTGCATAACAGTTTCGGGATCGGACGACCGTTAGACAACATTTCTGTCATGTATTTTGAAAAAGACTTATAATGCTACAAGTTTCCGGATAACTTTCTTTACATGCCCAATGTGGTTATGAAATCACAACTGTCTATCTGATAATTCTTATTTCAAACCCTATCCTATTTGTACATCCATAATGTAGGATTTCACCTTATGTGGTACATTACATTACTCTACACTTATATAATACTAATCTTATGCTTTAAACAAACAAACAATAAAATCAAAATAATTAAGAAAATCTACAACTGATAAACATAGAAAAATATTACATATACAAAGCGTTATCATTACTCATAAATAACAACAGAAATTAGACTGATTCAACTTACAACCAACTGTGGGAATATTAATGCTACAATAGCATTGCATAACCAGTTGGTTGCTGCAGCAATAGAGACAGCAGCATCACGATTTTCTTGCGTAAACAATTCAGAAACCAAAAACCATGGAATAGAACCTAAAATAGTTTTTTTCGAAAGAATCTTTTAAGAAATTCAAAAGGAATGGTGGTTTTTAAAGTCAACTTTATCTGAAATATTGTACTGTTTCTAAACCGTATCAATTGCTAAGAGGTAACAGTTTAAACATAAAATCAAATGTATGAAACTAAGTTCCATAACTAGTACAATTTTCTAATAGTAAAGACATATGTTTACTTACTTACTTACGCCCGTTACCCTTCGTGGAGGAGCATAGGTTGCCCACCAGGGGGACACATGTAAAACTTATTAATATATGTCCTCCTACATCTAGTTCGAATTTGAGTCAATAATGAAAACCAACTTTACCGATAAGTGTAAACAAAAAGATTCTCAACAACATTGCTTCTTTATTCTGTCAACTGGGAACATACAGAAAGCTGGAAATTTTACATTTTGTAATGACTTTCCAATGTCGGTGTTAATTTTTCATAGAGAATAATAATAATTTGTTAAATACTTGCAAAAATAAAATGATCGAGTCTGGAGTGTTATAGTCTCTGGTCATTAGTTGATACATTTTGTCTTTCAGTCTCCTTAGGAGTATAGATAGTTCTATGATACAAGTATTTATAAAGTATGGATTCTCTATGCAAACTTTCAGTACAACGACAATCTGTTTCGAACAATATTCATTTCCCTTCTTCTCATCTCTTATTTTTACCAACACATACTCATCCATTTAATTCAATATCTGTATATTCATTTAGAGATAACAATGTAAGCCTACTACTAAATGTGTATTTTAATCTCCTGAAACTTAGCCATTCAATGCACAACGAGACTCTCAACGTCTATGCTGTAGAGTGGATGAGAAAGAAGTATTGAGGGGTTTATTAATATTATGGATGAATTCTGTGTTTATGATGTACTTGAACAAGACTCGAGTTTGGTCGTTCAACTGATCTTAAATGCAAAGTAAGCAGTATTCCTCTTTTTACAGATTGAGCACTCAGTTTTTATTGAGACAGCATCATTTTTCATGCTGAAAGAGATCCTTTCAACCGAATCGCAGTTGTGATTTTCTGGGACACAGAAAGATAGTGATGAAAATTCATCCTGTTTTTAAGTATAATTTGATGTACTTATCGGCTACTCTGTTTTATGTAAATGGATTCAAAAACTTAGTTTCAGCTACTACTCCCGGAAGATCGATGCTGAAAATAATCTGAGTGTGAAAAAAGCTACCATCTCTACGAAACAACTTCATGTACTCTTAAGCTTACGAATAATCAGTTAAAGGGACTTTTAGCTGAATTATACCGATCCAAGCATATCTAATTGATTCCAGATGATCGCCGGCTGTAGTCATGAAAACTGGAGGCATCAGTACCCTCAAGATTACAGTTACGCCTTGCTGACGAGTGCCAACTAACGCAAAAACTAGGCTATAGTTTCCTACCGATTGCCTCAACTCACTTAAAATGCATTTGCTTTACTAGTAACTGATGAATAAAATAAAGAAAAATTATGCAAATACGCAAAATGTACACTCAATTTCAATATAGATACTATCTGCCTCAACGTTAAATAATACAATAATTGAAAAGTTGCTTCTTCAACAGTAGTATACACAGTAATACTGTCACCATACATGGGAAAACTATGCAGAAATCAAAATACTTGCTTACTGACTTACCTAAACTCACTGAAAATCCAAATAAAAACGTATATGTCAATACAATAGATAGAATTGTGAGTTTATTGATTTCAGTCACTCGTTTAATAATCAAAGTTAAAGTGAATAGTAAGAGGCTAAAAAGGCAAGCTGATATTCCAAACATTAATAAAGGACGTCTGCCTTTCCGATCGATAATAAATATGGATGCCAATGAACCAATTAGAATAGTAACTCCAGTACCAAGATTCGCATAGCTTGCAACTTGTTTTGTTAACCCATTCGATATGAATAAACTTACGAAGTAGTAAAGAATCTGAAGTAAAATATAACAACATTTCAGCAGTACCGTGAATAAAACATACATGATATAACTCGATGAAAAGAAAAAAGCCAAGAGGATAGATGGAAATTCATTATACGACAAAAATAGATCGGAAACTGCATCCCAATACATTAATTTTTATGGGTTTTACTTACACTGACTAATAATTAGATTTCGAATAAGTTTAACTGAATAACATTTATCCATCGATTAATAAAAAATACAATTTATAGATTACCGTAAGTTCGAAGTTCTAAAACTAACATGTATAGTTGACTAACTGAGTTATATGTCTGGACCTTAGTGACAGGAAGAAAAAGATATCATTTTTATTAAACGATTAGTCAAATAAATGTACGGAATGAGTATTTTATATGTGATACACTATAAAATCTATTCACTCATTTCTTCGTTGAACAGAAATATTCAGGGATAACAGTTGGTATAATTTGAAATTCGATCAGTTAAAACAACGTAGGACCTGGTACAAAGGTTCATTAGCCTAAGCTGCTATACCATTTCAGCAGACCGAGATGAGAATAACAATGAATCCAAATAATAAACATGTTTAAAACTGTGAAGACGATCAAGGAGAACATGTTCGGGAAATAAATAAAATTGAGGAGTAAAAAGTATGACATAATATTGAAACTCAAGATCTAGAAAAAGACAAATAATTAGTGTATCTGTAGCACCGAAAACGAGTTTCAGCCATTTATCTCATGAGGATTTCAGCTTGAGAGTCTGAATCTCCTTGCATGACCTAGTCCAACAGTTAAAGCCTTCATGTACTAACGTGACGTTTCGGTTTGGCTACCCTCAGCTCTCTTTCAACATACTTAAAGATTAAACAACTAGCAGATTTTTACTGACTGAAAGCAGTTGGATTTGTTTTCAACTAAAGATTACGAATTTAAACTATACCACTATGCTATAAAACACCAATTATCATTATTATTTAAGTACATAAACATTAATATAAGGTGGAACCAAAAAATATATACACCAACAATAAAAATGAGGTTGTGAAGAGAATGAGAAAGGAAAGTGAGTACAATAAAAAACAACAACAATGAATAGAAAATAGTTTATGAGAGTGAGATAATAATAATAACGGCGGAAGCTTTTCAGTTAACAAAAATACAACCAGAAAGGATTCTTTCAGTTAAAGTTACTCTCACTGTTATGAGGAAAGTAAAAGAAAGTTACAGAAGGATCTCTATTAGCTTCTATTCTGATAACATCTGAAACCAAGGTGATGTATAATCTCTAGGACCCCAATCACGGAGTAATGAAGGGTTAACAGAAGCCAGTCATACACAGCTCTCTTGCATACTACGGCACCATGTCATGCACTGACCATCTCTCCGCTTTTTCCAACCAGTCCCAGCGTCGGCAAATAATGCACGATGTGGAATTCGCTGGGAGGACATTCGTAGTACATGTCCAAGCCACCAAAGTCGGTGTTCTAAAATGGTGACACCGATTGAATTATCGTTACTATGCCCTAACACACATTGCCAAACCTCTGCACTTAGTGTTGTCACTGAATATCGACAATCCGTCGGAAACAAAGATGATCAAACACAGAGAGTTGCTAAACATACTCAACTTTCGGAGAGGCCAGGTTTCAGAAGCATAGAGTGAAACTGCTCTTATCGACGAATTATAGATCCAAACTTTTACGGCCAGACTAACAACATGAAGGCGCAGGAGATGGCCCGGAATGGCATAAGCCGCTCTGGGTTTGATTAAACATGAATTGATCTCATCACTCATGTCACCACCAGCACTTACACAGCTACCCAAATACACAAATCTCTCGACTACTTTTATCTGCGCAGTACCAAGAGTGAGTGAAGATTCAGGGTCCTGCCAGTCTTGTAAAAGTACTTTGCACTTGGAAGGTGTAAAGCACAGCCATACCTACGGATACTGATTGTCAACTGATTAAGTACAGATTGCTTGGCTTGGGTATTATAGCACAGTAAGACAATATCATCCGCATAATTCATATCGAAAAGTCTTTCTCCGGGTAAAAGATCTACACTACCATTACCTACATCTATCAGAACTGTTTCCAGAACGTCATCAATGGTAAAATAGGGGAGGAAAGGTGAGACTGAGCAACCCTGCCTAATTCCATTAGCTGAATGAAACAATAGAGAGAGGTGGCTGTATGCTCTCACTCTACCTGAAGTGTTTGTACAGAAGGCCTTTACGATGTTCGTAAACTTCTCAGACACACCCTTCAACGGAAGATCCCAGAAAACAGTCCTGTTCAGCAAATCGAGGGTGACCCTGACGTCAAGAAACAAACTGATTGTTGGTATGCAATAAACATGGAGGGGTTCTAACATTTGACGGAGGTTGAGGATATGACGAATAAATCCCCGATTAGAACGAAAACCAGCCTCCTCCTCGCGAGTCAATCGGTTCCAGGTTTTGAGCAATCTGCAAAACATGACTGAAGCCAATAACTCAGATGCAACCGGAGACAGAGTTATTCCTTGATAGTTGTTGCATAGGTAACGTGAACCTTTTTTTAAGGATACGGACAACTATCGGCTCATTCAACGATGTTGGAACACTATCTAACCACCGGACGTCTGTAAAAACTAAGCCATTTCCTTAACCAGGTCGCCACCATCTTTAAGAAGGACCGAAGATAAGTCATCTGGGTCTGGTGATTTGTGGCGCTCCAAGAGTTGAAATTCCATGCGTACTTCTGCCTCGTCAGGTTGATCAGTCGTCAAAGACCAGAAAGAGCAGGACAGTTTGATCGATGTAACCAGGGCAGCAGACAAGTTGAAATGCTCCTCAAAAAACTCTGCCCATCGTCCAAGACGTCGGTAGACGTCATTGATTGACATCTCATGAGATTAACACATTGTTTAACTCATACAAGACTTCTTGCTGCCAGTGATTCGAATGAGTTGAAAGAGTGAACAATATGATTTCAGGGTGAGATGAAGAGGGAGGACGCTAAGCAGCACGTCGGCAGTGATTGTTAGCCAGAAACGGGTTGTAGTCTGCGCAAAGTTGCAATAGACGGTCATCGTCATCTGGCCTGTGACCAAAAAGTTCGCATTAGCCACCTGAACGACACTCCCTTGTACATAGACCCTTGAGCTGCGCATTCAAGCATCCAGATGGAATACGCAAAATGGAAAAATAGGAATAGACAAGTGACGCAGTGCAAAATAAAAATAAACGAATAGTTTTGAGCATGATTTGCGAGAATGAGCTTTAAAGCATGAGTAGTTTTTCTAGTTGCCATTCTGAATGCATACGTGATAATTATATGAAACTTTACCGCTACTAGATTGCAGATCACGTTAACTTTTTAAAGTTTTATTATACAACCTACAAATCAATGTATTGGTAAGGCTTACAACTCAATCTCTGATAAACGAATGACTAAACTGCCGGGACGCAAATTCGATAATTCTCGACTACCTTAAGCTTCCAAAACTATTATTCATAAATGTGCCAGAATACGGTACCTCGTTTTGTTTATTCTTAAGCGCTGAGAATAAGTAAGGCACATTTGAAGACTAAATATATATTGCGGTGGGAATGTGTCCACGTTAACAATATTTCTGTCCGACCGTTGTTGCTACCTTGACGTGGTGGTCGGGCTTGCTTATCGTGATGAAGCAACCGAGCTATACTGGCTAGAACAACCGTTCCTCAAGGTCCTAACATGTCAGAAAGGTCGGTTGAAGAGCGGTAAGACTAAAAGCAACAAACACAAGGTTCGAAGGCGAAGTCGTACTGCTGACTGTACAGAGGTATGACATCAGTAAGGTGTTTCCTTCAGACAACCAGCATGACAGCGATGCTGCCTTCCCACAAGGAGGGGTGGGGTTAGAAAAGGTCGACCCTAAAAATGAACACCTCGCCTTATCCCACAGATATCCGTCTCCGGTGGTAAGGTCTTAAGAAGTACGGAGCTAACACAAAAATTACCCGTAACAAGGTCGTGTGTGACCGACCTCAAGCAGTTGTCCCTTGGGCACTGCGGTCACGCTCTCAGGTCACTAAGACCACCTTTAATCCAATTTCCTTTTCAGGTAACTCCACAACAACCCTTCCTCGGTGTGGGCAACCGGGAAGTGATAACCGCCCTCATACCTTTAACAGCACTCGAGACCACTGTATTCATAATCAACCTTCCTCTTCAATTCCTATTATTGCTCCTACATCGACTTTCAACCCTAAACTTCCTCCTTCGGCTGCCCCCTCAAGTGTTACCATGGCCAACGATTCTAGTGCCCAAAACTCTGTCCCAGGTCTACTGAAACCTCGCTCAAAACTACACATTGGAGCTTTCAACGTACGCACTCTATGTCAAATCGGTCAGCAGGTTTCCTTGGCTAAAACCCTAGAATCTCTTTCCATTGATGTATGCTGTGTCTCCGAAACACGCATACAGGATTCCAGTGTGGTCATTCACTTGACCTCACCTCGGCAAAACAGAGAGCCAACGAGATACACTCTCCGTGTATCTGGTGACCCGATGGCCAGTTCTCGTGGACTGGCAGGTGTAGGGATAGCACTAAGCATGAGGGCGGAACAAACACTGCTAGAGTGGATCCCCGTCAACAGTCGTCTATGTGCTGTTCGGCTAAACGGCTCCGTAAAAACTCGGAAGGATAGGGACACACGTCATTGCCTTTTCGTCGTTTCTGTCTACGCTCCCACTGACTGCAACTCAGATGATGTGAAAGATGAATTTTACAGAAAGCTGTCCGAACTTCTTCAGAAAGTTAAACGTTCAGACATAGTACTCGTAGGGGGTGACTTTAATGCTCAGATAGGTAGCTTAAACCAAATAGAAAGGCATTTAGGTGGGTATTTTAGTATTCCGACACAGCGAACAGATAATGGTGACCGTCTGCTGCAACTGTGCTCAGACAATCGCTTATTTTTAGCAAACACAAATTTTAAGCATAAGGAGAGACATCGTCTAACGTGGCGACCGCCTGCACCAAACCAACGATGGACTCAAATAGACCATATTGCCATCAGTCATCGTTGGAGAGGGTCGGTAGAAGATTGTCGCTCATTCTGGAGTACCAGCTTGGACTCCGACCATGCCCTAATACGGGCACGCATCTGCTTGCGCCTCACTGGACGCAAAAAAGCCACATTAAAAAGACCCATTAGAACTGAGTTGAGTAACGAGAAAACCAAAAGTAGGTTCCAGGAACAACTGAGGTCACACTTAGGTAGTTGTGAAGACGAGGTTGACCCAGATGTTGCTTGGAAGGGCATACAATCAGCTGTGGAAACAGCAGTGGCATCTATTAGTGATTTGAACCACAGGGTTACAAAACACCAATGGATTTCTTCCAAGTCTATTTCACTGATGGATTCTCGTAAACTCATCCCATCGGGCTCTGAACACGATGAAGAGCGAAAACAAATCAGATCCAGGTTAAGAAAAAGTCTAAGAAACGACCGTGAGCAGTGGTGGGCAACGAAAGCAAAAGAGATGGAAAAGGTGGCGACTATAGGGAATACAAGACAGCTTTACAGACTAATAAAAGAAACTGGAATTAATAAGTCAAGTGTAAGTGAGATTATATCGGAAAAAGACGATACCCTCATCTGCTCCCAGTCCAGGCGTTTAGAACGATGGGCGGAACATTTCAGAGAACAGTTCAGCTGGCCTTCAGCTACTCTACAACTACCCTCCATTCCCAGACAGTGTGAATGGAACATTGAAGTAGGTCCCCCAACTCTAGCAGAAGTTCAAAAGGCTATAGTTAATCTGAAATGAGGTAGGGCAGCTGGTCCAGATGGACTGGCTCTAGAGGTGTTTAGGGATGGTGGTCCAATTTTAGTGATTAGGTTGACTAATATTTTAGCTAAGATCTGGGAGTTAGACATTATCCCACCTGACTGGTCACAATCACTTATCGTCCCAATATATAAGAGAGGGTTGAAATCATCCTGTGACAACCATAGAGGGATTAGTTTAACTAATATAAAATCTAAAATACTGGCCTCGATAATTATCAAACGCCTAACTAAGACTCGTGAACTGGCTTCAGACCTGGTCGTGGCTGCATCGACCACATGTTCACCATTCGTCAGGTTCTAGAACACAGGCATACCTATCGGCGTCCGACAATGGTGGTCTTTCTCGACTTAAAAGCAGCATTTGACTCGGTAGACCGCGAGATTCTGTGGCAGTGTCTGTCATTGAAAGGCGTACGTCAGAAGTACAAAAACCTTGTGAAGGCTCTTTACTCGAACTCTACCAGTCGAGTAAGAGCTTATGGCGAACTGTCATCTGCTTTTGCAACCTCAAGTGGTGTCAGTCAGGGCTGTCTACTTTCTCCATTTTTGTTTAACTTCATCATAGACCTATTGATGGAAATAACAGTCTCGTCGACTGAAGTCTCGGGCATTGATCTCCTTCCAGGAGGTCCAATTATCGACTTAGAATACGCAGATGACGTAATCCTGTTTGATGAAGACGCTGATAAAATGCAGTCTTTTGGTAGCACTAAGCAACAATGCCAGAAAGTTTGGAATGCGCTTCTCTCCCTCTAAATGCAAGCTGCTGCTTCGGGACTGGTCTGCATCGACACCTGAACTAAGTATAGGGAGCGAAGTAGTCGAACGCGTTGACAACTTCACTTATCTTGGAAGTCTGATCAGCCCTAATGGGTTGGTGTCTGACGAAATCTCAGCACGGATTCGAAAAGCTCGTTTGGCTTTTGCCAACTTACGTCACCTTTGGCGGAGGCGAGATACCCGTCTATCAATAAAAGGACGAGTATACTGCGCGGCAGTCCGTTCTGTTTTACTTTACGGCAGCGAAACATGGCCCTTAAGAGTAGAAGAAACCCGTAAGCTACTAGTATTTGACCACAGATGCCTTAGAAATATTGCTGGCATCTGCTGGGATCACCGGGTAAGTAATAGTGAGGTTAGACGCAGGGTATTAGGGAATGATGGTAAGTCAGTTGATGAGGTTATGAATCTTCATCGACTGAGATGGTTGGGCCACGTATTACGTATGCCTGAACACCGATTACCACGACGTGCAATGCTAACGGGTGTTCGGACTGGTTGAAACAAAGTTAGGGGCGGCCAAACCAAAACATGGCATCAGTGCTTGAAGTTACTAACTTCTAGTCTGAGCTATGTTGGTAGATGCAGACTACTTGGTTGGAGTCCGCGTGACTTTCGTAACCGATGGTTGGAGACTCTTGGTGACATGGCTCAGAATCGATCACAATGGCGTCGGTGTATACACTCTCTGTCTTCCCTCAAAGAACTCGATGACCCGAACAACTAATAAAGGAGAAATAAGGTGAAAAATGCGTTAAAAAATAAAGAGGAAACGAGCCAAAATGCCTGCTTCATGTCCTTCTTCCTTCCTGTACTATGATCCTGATTGCAATCTTTCTTTTATATATTACCACCTCTGAATTAACTACTTTTATGAATCCGGTATCCATCTTGTGTTAATGAGGTATGGCAACTTGGACCGATGCATATATGTGCCTGGTCCTACGTTGTAGCTGACTGACTGACCAATATTTCTAAGCTTGAAATTTTGCAGGTTCGAAGTTTTAGCTAGGTAATTTAGTAGCCTGACTCTCAATTACTGAGCAATGAATTTCATGAGCTTCGACCTAACTACATAGTAATTTAAGAGGTACAAGTGACAGAAAAGTGTAAGAATTTCAAAAATTTCGAACATTCATATTATAAAGAAAGTGAAGTATAACGGAACAACTTAGTGAGGTCGAAAAAATTAACGAATAGAAGAAATCGAGATAGTGAAAAATTGGAGATAATCGTAGGCTAAATAAAAGGTTAGAAAACTCAGTTTACACACACAACCATGGCTGGAATTAGAAAATTATAGAAACAAAGTTGAAAACAACTTAAAAACCACATTAGTGTGATAAACACATATATTCACACTTTAAAATCAAGATTTGATTAACCAGTGCTGTGAAGGAAGAATCCCCAAACTTTGAGAGATCACCTAACTTTTCTGAAAACACAAAGACATTCTAGCACAAAGCACCTAATGCTTAAGGCAAATAATCTGCTTTTGACTTGTGAACGCTACCACTTAGACGGAGTTAAGTTAATTATACACTTGTTTTTTAACTTGATTAGCTACAAATAAATGAATGGAAACTGAATCGGAGATCCTTTGACTAAAATAACGGTCCTAGGTACCTTTCATAATTGCACAGAAGTGAAAGAGGTTTGTAAAATTAAAAAAGAAACTTATCAAAAAGCAACAACGGATAATCTTTGAATTATTTTCTTGTTATAAAGCTAGTGGACATGACAACAAATAATTCAGGAAATATAAGGGTTGTTAGGAAAAGTGACACCTGGAATTTAAAGTTACTTACTCCATTTATACCGGAAAACTGTTGGCCAATATGTAGTACCAAAGCTACAATCAGTCCCCATCGCAAGTATGGAATACGTAGTAGGTCGCAAAAATTTGATTTGTGTGTAGATGACTGTTGTGTCTCCATTTTTAGTAGTTCTAATTCAGCATGTACATCGCAATCTTGCCCTCGAAGGTAAACCAATGCTATACATGTAAAGTGAATGATAAAATATATAGTACATTACCATTTTCTGACCTTCGACGATCACCTTTAATAATGTATAAGTAAGTAGGACTTTCAGGACAAGTGGACAGAAGTAAAATATGTATGACACTGGAAACGGTACATAAAGCTTTCAAAATATGAGCATTTTTATTATCATACCAAGTAGATATGGCCATAATTCAGTTGTCCCCATCACTTCAGGCAGACCAAGCACTTGTGACAACAATATAGCGAAAACAAGCACAAACTGATTGAAAGTTCCCGCAGCTCCACGGAAATTGACAGGAGCTATTTCTGACAAAAACATAGGCCCAACGACTGTATGAGCGCCTTTTGAAATATTTCATAAATTATAGAATTACCACAAGCTATCCCAATTGTAAATCTCCCAACAATAATCATTTCGAAAGATTGTGCCGTTTTCGAAAACATCATCAGGAGTGACCCAATTACAGTTGGGATAGAAAGCAGAAATAGTGATTTTTTCCTGACAGTAAACTGTAGAATAAAAACAACTTACCGGCCCAACTTGTTAGCCAAAACGCCACCAATCAAGCCTCCAAAAAATCCCCCAAGGAGGAAGGACGTAACACAGAGTGACCATATCAAGTCGATGCAACGTTCATCACATGTGACTGACCTAGCAACCAGAGTAGTATTTATGAAGCTTTTGATCAGCTAAATAAAGTTTTCTGTTTATTATTAAACAGTAACTTACGTCAGCAGGTGCATTTATCACTCCACTGTGATATCCAAAAGGAAACGCACTCCCCAATGTTATGATACAATATGGCAAAAAGAACTTCAGTCGTCTCATTGACTGCATTTTATTCAAAATGTATAAAGCTGAAAAACGATTCACAAAACGGTGAAAAGTTGTAGGTAAACATGATCCAATTGGAGGTAAAACGATAAAGCGTAAATTTCGTATGGGACTGGGAATGCTGTAGACGTAAGTGAACGTCATCTGATGGTTACACGTTTTGGTGTAAAATTATGGTTATTAAGAAAGGGTGAAACAGGTCCGCGTCCATTTCTCACTAAAGGACTGCAGAACAAATGACACATATATGATGTTTGTTCTTACAAATCCTAAAGCAAGCAATAGTTTGTTGATGATTTGATCAAAACAGTGTAACTGGGGAAACTTAGAAGTAGGGTCATCAACAACATAATTTGATGGCAAATTGTTCAAAACCACAATTGCCCTAGCTTAATCTCAACACATTAGAGATCTACTGGACCTGACTTATGAAGCTTTCCGTCTCTTGGATCTAATGTTCACACATGGTGACGATGTCAGTCAAGTAACTTTACCCCCACCTCTAGGAAGGGGTAACCATGCAGTCATCTTATTCTTCTCACTAGTTCGAGACAACTCAAAGGACATAATAAACGAATAGAAAAGCCAAGAACGAACAAAATACCAGTGGCATACAGGTTTTCACACCGAGTCATCAGTTCTTGGGATCTGTTACCCGAAGCAGTGGTGTCTGCATCTCCAAATGACTCATCTAAGAGACACAGAAGCATACTAGAAAAGGAATAACATAGGCCATAGGCCTTCTGTCTTTACTACACAAATCTGAATGTTTATTTCAAAGAACTCGATGACCCGAACAACTAATAAAGGAGAAATAAGGGGAAAAATGCGTTAGAAAATAAAGAGGAAACGCGCCAAAATGTCTGCTTTTTTGCCGTTCCGGGGGAAATAACACGAATTTTCCTATCTATGTTGCTGAATTATCTACTTTTCGCCTATATGTACTCTAAATTGTCTACTTTTCGCCTAAATGTGTGCCGAATCGTCTACTTCCCGCCTAAATATACGCCCTCAGGAGGGCTAGAGTATGCAATTAAGGCCGAAACAATTAGATTCAGCATTTAAAAACAGAGTTATACTATTAGCAACATTTCTTTTTTCAGATATACAGCAGTATACGTTTGTATATCATGTAGTATATCAACAGCATTAAACGGTTTGATAAATGAAACATACCACATCACAACGCAAAAATAGGGACTATGAACAATGTGATTGGTCGAGGTAATGCTTCAGTGGTATCATCCAATGTTGTAGGTTACCGATCCCTTCAAGGTCAACCTGTCAAACTGGTTGATAACCATTGTAACACATGTAATCAGCAGTCACTGAAAGGCGGGAAGACCTAAAACCACAACACACGCAATGTTAACCGAGCACTTCACACCAGAGAGAGAACACGGAATGGGAACTGCCAGTCGTTTATTTGAAAATTCGCGGGTTATATACAGAAGGGAGATCTAGTTTACAGAACAGTCTTATGAGTCATCCTGTAGGTTCAGTGCACGCAGAGCTTGCTCTTCTTCTTCTTCTAAAGGATTTATTCTTGGTTGCCCTGTAATAGAAAGAACAACAGAATCTATTAACAACACCATACATGATGATTTAAACCCCGTTACATCGCCCCCTCCCTATTGAGGCACTGTCCTCAGTGCCTGGTCTTGGGCATGGGTATGCTGTTCCTCCTTCTGATGGTACTTCATAAAATTTAGTGGCCGGCGAACTGAGCATCGAAGGGCATTGTCATTCAATCCGGTTTTATTTGGTTGTAGTGTACCATTATCAGGTCGTCCTTAGGTCGTTGTATGTTACGCAATACAAACGTAGTGGGGGATCGCATGAGGACAACTTCGAAAGGACCTTGCCAGGGCTGGTGGAATTTACTGCAACTCCCTAACGATGTCATGGGGCGGCGTAGCCAGACGCGATCTCCGACTGTATACATCGGTCTTCGCACCTGACGATCATACATGTCTTTTCGGTGTCCGCCTGTTGACACTCGCTGGTTCATAAAAATTTTCGTCCTATGTGTTAAACGATGCAAAGGTGTTGCTAGTGATGTGAAGTCGCGAACAAAGCGTCTGTAATAAGAAGCTAGCACAAGAAAGCTACGAACGTCTTCGGGTGATTTTGTTTGCGGCCAATTAAAAATCGCACGTGTCTTTTCTTTATCTGTGCCTACCCAATCTGCAGTGATACGATGTCCCAGGAAGATTACTCCTTTCTGCAGCAGGCGACATTTGGACGGTTTTACTTTTCAATTGTGTTGTTTAAGGCGCTGAACTGCTTTCAGATTAGTATTGTGTTGTTCGGGTGTGCTACCATACACAATAATGTTGTCAATATATGTCAAGCATTTGTGGGGTACTATGTCTTGTTAAACTATTTGCATTAGTCTTTGGAAAGTAGCTAGAGCACTTGTTAAACCAAAAGGCATCACCTGAAATTCATATAGGGCACTGTCATCGACGTGTGCTGGTTTGAGACGATCACCTGACCGTTGTTGCTACCTTGACGTGGTGGTCGGGCTTGCTTATCGTGATGAAGCAACCGAGCTATACTGGCTAGAACAACCGTTCCTCAAGGTCCTAACATGTCAGAAAGGTCGGTTGAAGAGCGGTAAGACTAAAAGCAACAAACACAAGGTTCGAAGGCGAAGTCGTACTGCTGACTGTACAGAGGTATGACATCAGTAAGGTGTTTCCTTCAGACAACCAGCATGACAGCGATGCTGCCTTCCCACAAGGAGGGGTGGGGTTAGAAAAGGTCGACCCTAAAAATGAACACCTCGCCTTATCCCACAGATATCCGTCTCCGGTGGTAAGGTCTTAAGAAGTACGGAGCTAACACAAAAATTACCCGTAACAAGGTCGTGTGTGACCGACCTCAAGCAGTTGTCCCTTGGGCACTGCGGTCACGCTCTCAGGTCACTAAGACCACCTTTAATCCAATTTCCTTTTCAGGTAACTCCACAACAACCCTTCCTCGGTGTGGGCAACCGGGAAGTGATAACCGCCCTCATACCTTTAACAGCACTCGAGACCACTGTATTCATAATCAACCTTCCTCTTCAATTCCTATTATTGCTCCTACATCGACTTTCAACCCTAAACTTCCTCCTTCGGCTGCCCCCTCAAGTGTTACCATGGCCAACGATTCTAGTGCCCAAAACTCTGTCCCAGGTCTACTGAAACCTCGCTCAAAACTACACATTGGAGCTTTCAACGTACGCACTCTATGTCAAATCGGTCAGCAGGTTTCCTTGGCTAAAACCCTAGAATCTCTTTCCATTGATGTATGCTGTGTCTCCGAAACACGCATACAGGATTCCAGTGTGGTCATTCACTTGACCTCACCTCGGCAAAACAGAGAGCCAACGAGATACACTCTCCGTGTATCTGGTGACCCGATGGCCAGTTCTCGTGGACTGGCAGGTGTAGGGATAGCACTAAGCATGAGGGCGGAACAAACACTGCTAGAGTGGATCCCCGTCAACAGTCGTCTATGTGCTGTTCGGCTAAACGGCTCCGTAAAAACTCGGAAGGATAGGGACACACGTCATTGCCTTTTCGTCGTTTCTGTCTACGCTCCCACTGACTGCAACTCAGATGATGTGAAAGATGAATTTTACAGAAAGCTGTCCGAACTTCTTCAGAAAGTTAAACGTTCAGACATAGTACTCGTAGGGGGTGACTTTAATGCTCAGATAGGTAGCTTAAACCAAATAGAAAGGCATTTAGGTGGGTATTTTAGTATTCCGACACAGCGAACAGATAATGGTGACCGTCTGCTGCAACTGTGCTCAGACAATCGCTTATTTTTAGCAAACACAAATTTTAAGCATAAGGAGAGACATCGTCTAACGTGGCGACCGCCTGCACCAAACCAACGATGGACTCAAATAGACCATATTGCCATCAGTCATCGTTGGAGAGGGTCGGTAGAAGATTGTCGCTCATTCTGGAGTACCAGCTTGGACTCCGACCATGCCCTAATACGGGCACGCATCTGCTTGCGCCTCACTGGACGCAAAAAAGCCACATTAAAAAGACCCATTAGAACTGAGTTGAGTAACGAGAAAACCAAAAGTAGGTTCCAGGAACAACTGAGGTCACACTTAGGTAGTTGTGAAGACGAGGTTGACCCAGATGTTGCTTGGAAGGGCATACAATCAGCTGTGGAAACAGCAGTGGCATCTATTAGTGATTTGAACCACAGGGTTACAAAACACCAATGGATTTCTTCCAAGTCTATTTCACTGATGGATTCTCGTAAACTCATCCCATCGGGCTCTGAACACGATGAAGAGCGAAAACAAATCAGATCCAGGTTAAGAAAAAGTCTAAGAAACGACCGTGAGCAGTGGTGGGCAACGAAAGCAAAAGAGATGGAAAAGGTGGCGACTATAGGGAATACAAGACAGCTTTACAGACTAATAAAAGAAACTGGAATTAATAAGTCAAGTGTAAGTGAGATTATATCGGAAAAAGACGATACCCTCATCTGCTCCCAGTCCAGGCGTTTAGAACGATGGGCGGAACATTTCAGAGAACAGTTCAGCTGGCCTTCAGCTACTCTACAACTACCCTCCATTCCCAGACAGTGTGAATGGAACATTGAAGTAGGTCCCCCAACTCTAGCAGAAGTTCAAAAGGCTATAGTTAATCTGAAATGAGGTAGGGCAGCTGGTCCAGATGGACTGGCTCTAGAGGTGTTTAGGGATGGTGGTCCAATTTTAGTGATTAGGTTGACTAATATTTTAGCTAAGATCTGGGAGTTAGACATTATCCCACCTGACTGGTCACAATCACTTATCGTCCCAATATATAAGAGAGGGTTGAAATCATCCTGTGACAACCATAGAGGGATTAGTTTAACTAATATAAAATCTAAAATACTGGCCTCGATAATTATCAAACGCCTAACTAAGACTCGTGAACTGGCTTCAGACCTGGTCGTGGCTGCATCGACCACATGTTCACCATTCGTCAGGTTCTAGAACACAGGCATACCTATCGGCGTCCGACAATGGTGGTCTTTCTCGACTTAAAAGCAGCATTTGACTCGGTAGACCGCGAGATTCTGTGGCAGTGTCTGTCATTGAAAGGCGTACGTCAGAAGTACAAAAACCTTGTGAAGGCTCTTTACTCGAACTCTACCAGTCGAGTAAGAGCTTATGGCGAACTGTCATCTGCTTTTGCAACCTCAAGTGGTGTCAGTCAGGGCTGTCTACTTTCTCCATTTTTGTTTAACTTCATCATAGACCTATTGATGGAAATAACAGTCTCGTCGACTGAAGTCTCGGGCATTGATCTCCTTCCAGGAGGTCCAATTATCGACTTAGAATACGCAGATGACGTAATCCTGTTTGATGAAGACGCTGATAAAATGCAGTCTTTTGGTAGCACTAAGCAACAATGCCAGAAAGTTTGGAATGCGCTTCTCTCCCTCTAAATGCAAGCTGCTGCTTCGGGACTGGTCTGCATCGACACCTGAACTAAGTATAGGGAGCGAAGTAGTCGAACGCGTTGACAACTTCACTTATCTTGGAAGTCTGATCAGCCCTAATGGGTTGGTGTCTGACGAAATCTCAGCACGGATTCGAAAAGCTCGTTTGGCTTTTGCCAACTTACGTCACCTTTGGCGGAGGCGAGATATCCGTCTATCAATAAAAGGACGAGTATACTGCGCGGCAGTCCGTTCTGTTTTACTTTACGGCAGCGAAACATGGCCCTTAAGAGTAGAAGAAACCCGTAAGCTACTAGTATTTGACCACAGATGCCTTAGAAATATTGCTGGCATCTGCTGGGATCACCGGGTAAGTAATAGTGAGGTTAGACGCAGGGTATTAGGGAATGATGGTAAGTCAGTTGATGAGGTTATGAATCTTCATCGACTGAGATGGTTGGGCCACGTATTACGTATGCCTGAACACCGATTACCACGACGTGCAATGCTAACGGGTGTTCGGACTGGTTGAAACAAAGTTAGGGGCGGCCAAACCAAAACATGGCATCAGTGCTTGAAGTTACTAACTTCTAGTCTGAGCTATGTTGGTAGATGCAGACTACTTGGTTGGAGTCCGCGTGACTTTCGTAACCGATGGTTGGAGACTCTTGGTGACATGGCTCAGAATCGATCACAATGGCGTCGGTGTATACACTCTTTGTCTTCCCTTAAACTAAGAGATTAAAACCACTTCATATCTTTCTTTCTACGAACTAATTCTTTCTTCCTATACTATATCCTTATTGCAACCTTGACCTAACCACTCCTATGAATCCGGTGTCCATCTTGTTGTGTTAATGAGGTATGGCAACCTGGACCGATGCACATATGTGCCTGGTCCTACGTTGTAGCTGACTGACTGACTGAGACGATCAATGCTGACGATCTTGACGCGGCCATGTCGATCGACCTTGAAGGTCTTTTCGTGACGAGAAATCACGCGAAAAGGTCCTTCGTAAGGCTTTTTCAGAGGTTTGCGTACTGTATTTACTCGTATGAACAGGTTTACAACTCTCGAGGCAGAGCGACCTGTCGATGTTGTATTCGAGTGTTCACGAACACTGCCTCTGGTGTGCGCATAAATTCTGACAGTCATCGGACGTAGTCTGATTCACTGAAATCGTTACTGCTCCGTGTTGTGAAAAATTCCCCAGGCAGACGCAATGTCGTGCCGTATACAAGTTCAATGGCGAACACTGAGTATCTGCCTTTAAGCTCGTTCTGATACCTAAGATGACGAGCGGTAAGGTTTCGTGCCAACTGTTGACTTCGTGTGCCCGAAGAGCACTTTTAAGTTGGCGACTAAATCGTTCAGCTAAACCATTTGATGCTGGGTGATAAGCGCTAGTGAGTATGCGTTCCGTACCAAGCAGCCGGGTCAGTGAGAATAGATATTTGGGGAAATTTCTCGAATAAAGCGTGGAGCATATCGTCGGATGAAAGATACATAAGATTCAGTACGCGTACATCGGAGTCTATTATATTAATACTATTCTTATCGTTATCCGTTATCTCAAGTTGTTACCAGAATATTATATATTGAAAAATATCAATATAGCAATGTGCAACAGACGTGGATAGATAAGCAATAGACTCACCGCAATCGGCTTCTTTGGAAGATTTGACCGGAGGTTGAGACTTCTTCCTAGATTTGATTCACCAGTTGTAGTGTGGTGTCGAGTCGCGGTTGACTATTATCAGCACTACAGGATGACTTCGTGCCAGTTAACCGATAATATATCCGTAAGTCAAATATCAGAAGGCAGTTGATGGCTGCAGTCGAGTTGTATTTGTTGGCGACCTCGTGGTATCGAAAGAATACCGAGATCGTTCCAGGTTACAACTGCGGTTGCTGAGCTTAACCGAACCCGTGCAAGGTCACAAGGGAAAGACATGAACATTTTGGTACAGTTAAACAAACAAGTACGGTAAAACAATCCCTGGTATAATTAGTTATAATAATAATTTTTTCATTACACCAATTGCGTTCTCTTGGTGAGAGTATTTTACTACAGAACTATGATATTATTGTCCAACCTATGTTTTATCAATGCATCTAGTTGCATTTGGTAGTGTACTGGTCTCTTGAGATGTGGCTGTCGAAGTGGCATATGGTCACCTGTGGAGATAGGGTATTGTAATGTAGTTTTTCTACTTCCGGAAATACCTTCTTCAAACACAGAACTAAACTGCTGGAGCACAGCAATCGTTGCTCAACGATCATTCTCTGAGATCACTTAATTGCTATGTATCTGACGTGCTAGTTCTAAAATCCCCACATGGGCTTTAGATTTAGTTGTCATTTCATAGTGATGCAGGCGTACTGTAGCCTCACCAATTTATGCTTCCGATCTATCCATGAATATAGAGACTTGGTGTTTTAACATGTAATCAACGCCGAGAATCATGTCCCAAGTTAATGCTGGACAAACTAAGAATTCATGACGAAACTGATGTTTTTCTATCGTGATGTCAAACCACGCCTTAGAAGACACTTTCAGCGGATCACCACTTGCTATGAACAACGTAGAAAGACATCGATTTTGTTGAGTCTTATGGTTAATTTTCCTCAAGAGCTCTTCCTTGATAACAGATACCGAAGCTCCTGTGTCTAGTGGTATTTCTATCTCAACGTTTTACACTCTACCGCTAAACGTAATCGGATTGACATGATTAACATAAGAAGATAAATAGCAAAGACGCCGCTTACCTGGTTTACGGGACTGGTTATGACCGCATCTTCTGGCATCCCTGTCAAGCCTCTTGCAATATATATATTCGGCTTGACGCCCATTGTAGTTGCTCCGTGCTGGTTGTCTATTCCATCTCGAACTTGGCTGCCCGCGGCTGGCACCACCGCTGGAAAAGTCGGCAACAGCCATTTTTCCTTGGAAACTGTCCGGGCCACTAGATTCTGTGACTCCTTCCACAGTCATCACTGATAGTGGTTGTGCATCTGATAAATTCGCTAGTTTGTCTTCAGCCAGGAAACGTAGTGTTGTTCTTTTTAATTCAGGTGTATCGATTGGTGGGCTTCGAAGAATATGTTCTCTTAGCGGACCCGGCCCCAGCCCTTTGATAAAACGTGAACGTACTAATTCCTCTTGTCCCACGACATCTAAACCAGGGAGTGCCTGTACCACGATTTGCTGCAAGGAATTAAGGCAGGCGATTAGGCTCTCGCTTGCTTTTTGGTGATGTGATAAGAACCGGATCGTCACCTGTTGTGTGTCCACGGGCACGGTAAGACAGTCATCTAAGAGTTGCCAGTTTTGTGGAAGCGTGTTACATGCCGCGTAATCATTGGCTGTAGCCAATATAGGATACGAGGTAGTTGAAATGTTCGGCCATTGGAACTCTCTTTAGATACGTTGTGATTTTAAATTTCCAGACAAAGTAAGTTGACGACGTTTCGAGCAGTGGTGGTTGGCGAGGGGTTGAACCAGATGCAGCCTTGAGTGGAATCACAGGGGGTTTATCTAAATTATCGTCGCGTTTTTACGTAGACACCTCCATCACCAGTTGGAACACGTATGGTCAGCAGTCACTGAAAGGCGGGAAGACCTAAAACCACAACACACGCAATGTTAACCGAGCACTTCACACCAGAGAGAGAACACGGAATGGGAACTGCCAGTCGTTTATTTGAAAATTCGCGGGTTATATACAGAAGGGAGATCTAGTTTACAGAACAGTCTTATGAGTCATCCTGTAGGTTCAGTGCACGCAGAGCTTGCTCTTCTTCTTCTTCTTCTAAAGGATTTATTCTTGGTTGCCCTGTAATAGAAAGAACAACAGAATCTATTAACAGCACCATACATGATGATTTGAACTCCGTTACACCATGACGGTTCGAATAGTCTGCCAGACTTTATCTGACTTCCATTGGTTCTTTCGTATAGGATCCAAACCTACAGAACTGCCAATATGTGACGTAACTAACATTTTACTAGAATGAAGGTTGACGTAACTTGGAATGAATTCGGTACCTTGAGTTACTGTTTTCGAGATATTTGTGTTTAACATCCGACCTCTAGAACGTGTTAGTATAGAAGTGACTATCATAGTTCAGTCATCAACAGAAGTGTATTATCGGGCTTTTTCAACACCTCACCTTTTCTTTGATATTTTGGTGCTACACATAAGAACGTATAGCGGTATTTGTTCCTGACCTCATTAATTTTAATAGGCACACACATATTAAAAACGGCTATTCTTAAATGTGGAAACCTAAACTACCATCAAAAGTCAAACTAGCTTTTCCCTAGTATGGCATTGCAACAGGAATGTTGGTGAGCCCTTTTTGAACACAAATTTAACCTCATTTCTGTTATTAACATTTTTTTTACTTAATCGTAAAAGTAGACCTGATTATCCGTAAACTAATTTGAGTATATAACTAGTTTATTCCGTATTATCTTAAGTTATTCGTGTTATAGTAAACACTTTTTGTGCTAACTTTATTGCTATATTTGTCACATACCTCATGTCAGACTCAATAGAAACCCATAATCTGGAGGATTTGTCACCAGTGGAGATAGACACTGTTATGACTACGAAATCCCGACTTCCAGAATTTGATCGTAGTGATCCTGAGTTGTGGTTTGCTCAACTAGAGCATTATTTCACGAGACACAATATCAAATCTGAAGGGATTCGCTATAGAGACTTGTGTTCTATCCTTCCTCCTTCAGTCGCCAAAGAAGTCCGTGACTTGATTTTAAGTCCACCATCACCACAACCATACACCATCTTAAGACGAGAGATAATGAACCGTTTATCATTATCAGATAGTCAAAGAATCCAAAGACTTTTTCAAGGTGAAACACTAGGTGATCGGTCGCCGTCACAGTTTTTACGTCACCTCGAAGTCTTAGTGGATGATAACACAGTGGGTGAAGCAGTCCTAAAACAAGGATGGATACAAGCTCTCCCATGCTACGTCCAACACTGTTTGGATGCACAGGATCCTGAAACCTCATTATCTCATTTAGCGCGTATAGCCGACAGAATAATGGAAAGAGGTCCTCCAACTGGATCAGGCACAATAAATCACACACAAAAAGTAGAATCAGCAAAAGACCCCGTAATAGAAGGACTCATTGCGAGTGTTAAGAGTCTCACTGAGGCTGTCACCAGAATGCAAATGGGTCATAGAAACAGGAGCAGGTCACCACAACGACCACGATCCAAGTCACAAAACAGGTCACAAATGTCCAGACAATCTGAGCAGTTTTGTTGGTACCACTGGAAGTTTGGTGTCAACTCAACCAAGTGCATGCAACCATGCGCCTGGCCTAAGCATTATTCTAAGACAGCGGGAAACGAGTAACCCCTCCCCAGGTCGCGACGACTGAGGAGGGGCGCCTAAACAGTCGCTTGTTTTATGTTAGAGACAGAAACTCGGGCTTGAATTTCTTGGTGGATACTGGCGCTGCTCTTAGCATCATCCCTCGAAATAAAACTGAGATTAGTCGAGAAACATCATCAATTACACTTCAAGCTGCAAATAAAACTAAAATTGCGACATTTGGGCAGAAAACTTTAACCCTAGATTTGGGGTTCAGGAGGCAATTCCCTTGGGTTTTCACGGTAGCCAACCTAGATCTGGCAATACTGGGGATGGACTTTCTAGAGAGATACGAATTTCTAGTTGACACCAAGAAACGGCGATTAACACTAAAAGAAACTTCGTATTACACAAAAGGCAAAGAAAGTCACATCAACTCTCTTAACTTGATTCAAACTCCCCCAGTAACAACAGCGAAATTCCAAGATATAATCGCGGAATTTCCAAACTTAACTAAACCAAACCCACAGCCTTCTAAAGACAAACTAAAAGTGAGTCACACTATCAAAACCGAAGGTGCACCGGTGTTTGCAAAACCCAGGAGACTAGCACAGATAGGCTCAAAATCGCTAGGGCCGAGTTTGATTATATGCTACAACTGGGTATCATCCGTCCCTCTGATAGTCAATGGGTATCCCCTTTGCATATGGTCCCAAAGAAGAATGAAGGTGACTGGCGACCGTGCGGGGATTACAGAGCCCTAAACCGTCAAACCGTACCTGATAGGTACCCAATACCTCATATCCAAGATTTCACCAACGGTTTACAGGGTATGAACATATTCACTAAAATTGACTTAGTCAGGGCATATCACAATATCCCGGTGGCTGATGAAGATATTCCCAAGACAGCTATTACTACACCCTTTGGCTTATTCGAGTTTGTACGCATGCCATTCGGCCTGAGAAACGCGGCACTTCCTCAGATATTCTTATTCCACATTCTCACACTCTTTCTCTTGAAAGCACGCAGTAAACCGTCAGCGATAGTTGTAGAATAGATCACATGCTACAAAATAAGATGACAAGCTAGTAAATGAGGAGACATCCATGGACTATCGTTGATAGCGTTAGTCGTCACTGATTGTAAGTCAAATAGTGAGCGAGTTGATAATTTTCCCTTGGGATGAGAAATAGAACTAAGGTGTTTTCGATAGATAGGTTAATCGAACCGACGTTCCTACGGAAGTCGATTCTAGGGGGAAGCTAATGTAACAGCTCAGGTTGGTTGGTTAAGAGTTGACCCCAAACAACCAAGCTTATGCCAAAACAGTATTGTTCAAGTATTCATTCACTTCCTTATTTTTTATAAGCGTTATATTCCCTATTATCTTGAATGTTGAGAGCCTTTGTTTGTCTGAACAGATAATACCACGCTCCACTGTGACTGCGCGAAGATCGAAATAAAGACCTATTCACTACTTCTCTGGTTTCTTCTATCAATAGCACGAGGGTTACCTTAAGGCACGAAAATGTCATTGGTCAACAAAATTCCCCAACAGATGCCGGTGGTTCTCGTCTCATTTCAAAATAACGCCCTAGAC